CCCGCGCTCTCTCTTTGGGCAATGGAAAGATTGAACGCTTGATAGATTGCATTTGAAGAAAGCTTGATTCCGATGCGAACACCGTACTTGCTGACCGGCGACCCGATGTTTCTATCGTTCTCGCCCGTCGGACTCAGCAGCAACTATGCATACGGCGGTCTCGTGCGCTCGGCCATGTCCGGTATGTCCTTCTTCGTACGTCGTCTGAGAGCTAAAACGCAGGCAACTGGTCAGGCTACAAGGCGTGGCGCAACGAGCAAAACCACATTGTCCTGAGCTGGTACAGCTGGCGCCGCGAGTCGATAGGCCAGAGCTGCGTCCGCCGGCGCGTCATCAAGTCGTTTTACCGGACGCCGCTCGACCCGGACACGCTCGAGTGCCACACGAGGATCGAGGTACTCCCTCTCGACGACAGTGGATCTAAAAGCGAGGGTGGTAGGTGGCGACGCAGCCCGAGGCCAATCTCGGCGAGCTCAGTGTCACGGAGCGCATCAACTACCCCGGCGAATGGCAATGCCTGCATGACGAGATGACGCAATTCGTCCGGATTCCTGGCCCGCGCAAGTAGCAGGCGTACGAGCACACCCTAGAATATACAGTCGTCAATGTTGCGTGGGATTTGAGTCGCACGCAATGACGTGGCACGTGCTGCAGGCTGGCGGTTTCATTCTGCACTAGCATACGTGGCATGTGCTAGACACAATCACTCGAGATTTGCGCTGCTCCCAGCAGTACAACGCGCGAGACGATGCCGCTCCAAGTGACCAACAAGACGAAGAACCTGCGGGTCATGCGCAGCGGTCCTAAGCTCTATGGGTACGGCGGCCTTTACTTCGACCACGCCTAAGACACCTTTTCGAGTCCCAAAAAAAGGTTCACGCCCGTCCCACGCGCCCATCCGCAGTCCAATCGTACGATTCTGATTTTGGTCAATAAGAATTAGGTCGACAAACCTACCGGTATCATAGCTTGGACCAATCGTGTCCGTGCTGGAGTTGGCGTGCGATCATGATCTGGCTACGCTCAACGGACCAAGTTGGGATTGTGTCGATTACGCTTTTCTTCGGTTAGATTGCTTTTCTTTGTAGCAACACGTCAATTCTAGTCAAAGAGGCGCGAATCACGCTCGGCCCGCTGCTTGAGCCGCATGTAGTACTGCGTGCGCTGGCGGATGTGGTCTGCGATCCTGGCCTTCTCGCGCATCTGCTGGTGGCAAGCACGGCGTCTTCCCGCGCCTGCTCATCCACGCGCATCTGGGCCATTTGGCCCTGGATGTAGGCGTGCCGCACACGCTGACGCTCCTTGTCAACGCTGGCGATGCTATTCACGCTGTCGGCACGACCATACCTACGTCACAATTCGTGACAGCTCCAACCAAAATGAATAAACTACTGCGTGGACTCGGGCTCGAAGCGCAAACGTCCTTCGTTGGCAAACCGCCATGGGTTCAACGGCGACTTTGGACCGCTGGGACAATACGAGAGTCATGTCGAAGCAGCCAACAAGCTGTGGATACCAGAGGAGCTCCTTGGTGTCGCCACGCGGCGTATGTCCGCTGCGTGTGGGCACGGTCGTTCGCCTACGAGAAAAAGGACTTGTTTGAAGCGGCGCGCTCAAGCCAATGTACGATCGGAGCTGAGCAAAATCGAATTTAGGCAGAGTGCCGTGCTCCGGCTTGGCTGGCAACGGCTCTTCGGCCCAGCTACATACAGTCGTGATGCAAGCAACTATGGCGGCGAAGGGACCTCGATGGCAGCGACGACTGCAACCCGAAGTCCTTGGCTTCGTCCATCTTGATGAGTTGTTTGAACTGCGTCGTAAATTCCCAAAGCGAAATGAGCCCGTCGTGGTCGGCATCCATGTCGTTGGTGAGGCGTCGGAACTCGGCTTCACTGAGCACAATGCCCTTCTTCATCAACTAATAGGGATAGAAACACTGCTACAATGTACAATAATGTCAATAGTTTACCCCGTGGCGGAATTCAGCATACGTTAGCTTGCCACTGCTGTCGTCGTCCATGTCGCCAAAGCTTTGTAAAATCCGGTTTTTGTAGACTGGAAAGGTGGTTTTCGAGGGTAGGGTCCACCCTATCTCTATACCTTTGAGTTTGGCGTACACGGTCTCACTGAGCTTAGCAGCCTACGAGCCAGCATGAACATCAACAACGTCGTGGTTGAGACGCTGTACATCGACGATGTCTGCGGGCGGCGCCACGTTGGAAGGCGGCGGTGCCACGACATCGGACCGACGGAGCTTGCGCAGGAGGACGCGGTCGTGGCCTTGGAGCACGGGGCCGTTCATAATATTGGCAAACTCGTAGAAGCTGAGCATGCCGTCCTTGTCTGCGTCGTATCTAGACCATACGAATATTGTCGTACGCGATGTAGACCACAAAACACGAACGTGTGGAGTAGTTCTTGGACCGTGTCGTTCGTCACCGTGATGTTTTGTTTCTCGAGGTTTTTGAGAATCTACGCGGAGGCATTGACAAACGTGCGTCGCGCGCGGCGACCTACCATCTCCAGGCTGAGTTTGCCTTCCTTGTTTTGGTCCCAGAGCCGGAACACCGTGCCGAGCTTCATTTTCTACCACAAGTTGTATACATGTCGCAATAGACAATATGTGCACGTACTTCGTACTTGTTGCGTAGCGTGTAGACCACGTGACGGGCGCTCATTTCAGGCCCCGACTCGGCCGGGTCGCCCACGTGCTCGCCGAGCACCGATTGACCAAATTCGATTTCTTGCAAAATGTGCTGGCGCTGTGGCTTGTCAATGGGCTGGGACGGGAGCACGAGCTGGCAAAACGCGTGGTATGACACACACCTACGCGCCAATCAGAACCACTTTACACTATCAATGTATCGACTGGGTGCTTGGGTCCACGACGCTGCGGATAAGGGCGTCCGCTTTCTCGTGGCCGAGCTGGGATGCCCAGCCCATGGTGGTAAACATGTCTTTCATTTCGCCCTGCGAGAGCTGTCCGTCGTGGTTGATGTCCCACGATCGGAACGCAGCGCGCAGCGACTTGGTGCACTCGTACTTGGCTTGCAAAAGCGCCACAAACTCGGCGACGGCGGCCTCTTTGGCTGTGTTGTCTGGAATGTGGTCGGTGGGGGCAGTCGGACTTCGGACGGCGTCGCTCTTGAGGCTTAGACGTCGACCCTGCCGTGTCGCGTGCCATCAGCCTGCCGTCGGCCACGTTTGTTGGTACCTTTTGAGGCGCTTCACATGGCCTCTCGGGCGCACCCGCCTAGCATGATGGCATTGACGACCTGCTCTGGCAACGATCGGGGCACCTCAAATTGGTTTGAAGCCGTATCGCCAAGCGGTGCCATCAAGCTACCATCGTCCAGATGCTTAGCGAACGACATCCCATAGCAGGACCGTACGTCGGTGTGGCGCACGTGGCTGGCCGCACGAAGCGAGGGGTCGTCGGCGCCGCCCTGGACGGCGCACGCTACACGACAAGCCTCATCAATATGAGGACATGGATAGGATGTCGTACAGGCGTCGTCGGCGGCGGTGTCTCGGTGCCGCAAAGGAGGCGGTTGCTCGACCCCGTCGCATGCACTCGGACCTTGGACGCCATCGACAGCTATAAATACGCCGCGGGCTGCTTGACGAATGGCCTTTCTTCGTCGCAATGCATCAGCTAGGGCTCGGGCAAGGCGAGGTATATCCTTTAGTTTTAATCTACTAGTATCTATCTATCTATCTATCTATCTATCTATCTATCTATCTATCTATCTAAATGATTGAAGGGCGTGGGTAATCTAGCAGCGTGACCTTGCGGCCATTATGATGCCCCATCATTGACGGTGCGGGGCTCATGACAACGTGAGGTTTGCATGCCCAACGGCACGTGCAGCCTTTGGTTGGATCATCGCATGGGACTCTACCCTCGCCTTCGCCAAGGACACACAGGCGCCGCGACTGCTGTGGTGAGGCGGCTGATTCCAGACTTGGCAACCGGCACGATGTGCATCCTCTCTCTGATGGCCTCTGTTGTGGTGCGCACAAGAAGAGAAAGTGCTACGACTAACAACAGTTCTATTGGCCTTACTCGGGGTTGGAGAACTCGCCAAAGACGGACGCAAACGCGCCGCAGATCGACGCCGTCATCAACGTCGCCCGCAACGACGAGAGCGCGGTCGGGTTCGCC